AAATGACTAACGCAACATCACTATGCCGTTACAATAGTAGTATAACCGGTTCACATTGACTAAAACCAATACCTCCCTCGGGAATACTTCAAGATAGGGCCTGTGTTGTTTATCTACTAATAATTTTTTTTTATTAGCCTGCGTCCAAGCCTCGCTTAGGTTTATTTGTTTACCTCAATTTTTTTTTTAAATGATTAGTATTATTACAAGTCAACTTTTCAAAGTACCATGGTATATTAGGACGAATGACATTCTCAGGGACCTCAAGATTAATCCCATTAAAAAATACAAAAAGGATAGAGGTTTATTTGTTAAGCTCAATTTTTTTTTTAATTGATTCAAAGTACCATGGTACATTAGGACGAATGACATCCTCAGTGACCTCAAGATTGATCCCATCAAAAAATACACAAAGGATAGAGCCTTGAAATTATTTGGGAAAACTGACAGACTTACCAACACCGCGTTATCAAATCTCAAAATGGTTTCAGGCTCTTCGGGGAGGTATGCAGATCTGAGGTCAATTAATGCTTAGTCTGATGAAGTGATAAACAATAATCCAGTCAAGGCGTAAAGAGTGGTTTTAAAAATACCTCGAGTTAAGAAAGATTAAAAGTGCTCAAGTGCACTGGCTTAAATAGAAATAAATAAATAAATTATAACTCAACCATATTCAGTTGTAATAATTTCTCAAAATATTTAAAAATCTCTAAAGGTAAAGTGTTACCTCTCTGAACTTTTTTGAAAAGAGTTCTAAAATGTAATCATACATTGTCAAATTTAGAGATAGTCTGTTTCAGGTTTGATAAGAAATTTTTTAAGCAACAGTAAATAACACAGTAAATCTCATAAGTCACTAGGTTCCATTGTCTCTTCCGACAATAAAATAGGTTAGGTTTAGAAAGTGTGTTACGCGAATATCACTGCTTACATTTCACTGCTTACAACTACTTTTCTTTGTGATTTGCTTTAAGTTGTCAAAAAAGTAGAACTATACTAATTATTGTTTTCAAAATGACTTCACATGTTATCATTGCTAATTCATTTGAGGTTCCAAATGAAGTTAAAGAGATCAGTTAAGTTTACTTTTGATAACTCTGTCAGCGAAAAAACGGTCCCCCAGCCATGGAGTCACTTTCAATAGTCCCGAGTAAAGACAACAATAACAATAATAAGGTTTGAATGATGCCACAATAACATCAATCTCAATTTCCACGGTTGAATTAGAAATAATTGGAAGAAAACTCATGAATTCGTCATAGATTAGTTAATTAGACAAAGAAATATAAGAAATTCTTGAGTACTCTTTTAACGTTATGAAAATAAAGAGCTCAATAATTCAGTAATTGTTTATTAAAAATATAATATGTTGAAGTAGTAATTATTTTAACATATTTTTACAACTGATTAATACAATCAATATATATTTTGATATAATACAATAAGGATATCATCTTTTCTGTTTAAAATTTACTTCTTACAACACCAAAAAAAATTTAAACACTTTTAGGATCGAGAATTACTTAATTGTCCCCCAGTAGCATAGTGATAGCAGTTGCAGATATTATTGATTCTGTTCCACTACTATTAGGGGCTACGTATCCTTTGTATGATGAAAATCTGTTGATATATTTTTATACATTTTATCTGTTTATATACAGACAATCAGTATTTCCCGGAAAAAGTTAAAATCTAGGATCAAAACTTAGGTTGTCAAATGCTGAAATATGTTATAACTTAATTTTTAGTTAAGCTTAATATTTTACACTACATGCACTAGATAATCCAATGATATCGCATGTTAATACATCATCCTTTTAGTTTCTTCAATATTTTTCTCTATCGATTACATCAGGTTATCTTATAACGCCTTTATCGTTCAAAATTTACTCTTTACTACATCAAAGAAAATTCAAAAATTCTAAGAAACGAGAGTAATAATGTAAAATAACATGGCAATAAAAAATCACAGCCTTAATTCACCGTAGTATGCGGCTATCGTATGCTGTCGGAAACGGAAATGTATCGTGATTGATTGATTTTAATTTCCTGACTTAACAGGAACAAAAACAACAACATATTTGTGACTTTTACGTTAACCGATGAAACCAGCAAGATTGAAAAAGTAGTTACCGAAGTCAACTCAGAAGATGCGTCAGCAATTCAAAAATAATTGTTTTGTACATCAATATAAACCGCAGGACATGATAATATCACTGACATCTGGCAACACCCAACACCCCAAAATCCGAAGCTAACACCACGCAAACATCAATGCCAGTTCAGCCTGTTCAGCCTGTTCAGCCAGTTTAACTGAAAGTGAAGTTGATGAAAATGAAACACAAAGTGATTGCATGGACAAGTTGCACAGATTAGAGGAAATCCGATACGGTCACAGTGCTACGGTGACACGATTTCACTAAAAACATATTTGCACACTCAAAAGCCGACCGACTTAGACCACAGTTAAAAATCTATTGGAACGTTGCTTTTACGGATGGCAATTGCGAAGACAGAGTATTCACTTCCGATGATGGATTTTGCAACATTGTTTGTATATGTCATTAAAAGAGATCTACTGGGTACGAATCGAGAAGGCCACCAAGAAGGGTGCACGTTGCTATGACTTAATTTTTTTTATATTTGATTTGTGTACTATTTCTTCTATTCGTCCTCCTTTTGCCTCGTGCTCCTTTTTTTTTGCGTTAATATCCATGATGATGAATCGCATTTGCTGCTTAAATTATTGTGTTACTTGCTACTAATGATATCTTCATCATTCGAAATCAATTTAAATGTTTTAGCAGTGCCGATGGCAATAAACAAAAGAGCATGAAAATTAAGCAAATAGAATCAATTCAATTTTTTAAGACGTTTGTTTGCTGGATTTGACAAAGTTCTGGGGTAAGAAACTGACGTTCTCATGCTCACAAACATCGACAGTAAGCAGTAACACACTTGTCAAAACTTGACACATACAATTCACTTTCGAGGCAGATAGATGTGGAAATAGACAATTGGATTGACACGAACGTGGCACTGGAACCAATGGTGTGCTGGTGAGTTGTGCTTTTATGGGGTAGTTTTAGGTAGGTACCACTCCGCTGTGCTCTGGCTGTGGAGTGCTGTCATGACTTTGAAAAAAGTGGATTGTTTTTTTGTATTAATATTTGGCGTTACAACTTAATAACTGACTGCTCAACTTTTACGGTTGGGTGTGTTTTTAAACCACAGGAAAAAGGATCATCATCGAATCGTTGCTTTCGTATTTTTCCTTTTTCCTATTTGATATGAAACTAATTTAACTGTAGTTGGCAGTTCCAAACTCATCGTAAGTTGGCTTTTACGACTTTGTAATTACTTGGAAACGCTATGTCATTGCTGTGACAATGCACGGCAGGCGAGCGGTGACACGAAGTAGGCGTAACTTGGAAGGTTAAACTGAGGAAGGAAGTTTAAGCACTTAATACTTTTATTTCTGATTACTATGATATTAGGTTTTATAAAGAGGTTATTGCATTAAGAAATTTAAAAGTTTTATTGGTTTTTATATCTTATAATTTCAACGATTAAATTTCAGTATCCATACATCAGTTGAAGGTATTTTTTTATTTGATAAACATACATTTAATTTACAATTAATGAAATCAGGCCAATAACGCAAGTTAGAGGTGTTTATTTTCATCATGTTTTTGAGATAATAAGTATAAAAAGTTTCATATTTTATAAATGCTAAAAGAACATACCAAATATGTAATCTCTAGCAGTTCTGTGACAGATTACTTATTTTAATCATAAGTAAATCATAAAGCAGTAATAATTGCATTCAAATATTTTCTACTCATTAATATACTATAAGTGCTCTGGAACTGAAATTAAGCATAAGATTAAGTGTTTCTTCATATATGGTAAAAGGATCAGAAGAATAGTGGTCTTCTGCCGATCAATTTTGATTGAGCAAGTTACAGACTTGAAATGTATGTTTGACGTTTTGTAGATCATTTGCGAATCTGATTTTGCAGATCAGGAATATATCTAGCAGATGTAGTCTGAAAGATTAGAATTATATTTTACAGAAGTAGTTCTGATGGTTAGGCAATATCAAGCAACTGAAGTCTTAAAAATTAGCTAAATGTTTGTGAGAAGTAGTTTCTTGTTTAGGGCTATATTTTGTAGATATAATTTTCAAGATTTGAAGTATATATCGCAGATGTAGTTCTAAGATTAGAACTGTAAACAGTATACAATATACAATATATAGTCCTATAGTTTAAGATTTTATCTAGCAGATGTTGCAGAATACATCTAGTAATAAGGACTATATCTAGCAGATGTTGTCCCAAATACTAGGACTATATTTTCTATTTAAAGATGTAGTCCTAAAGATAACGTCTATATTAAGCAGATGTAATCGTAAAGATTGGAACTATATTTTGAATATGTAGTTTTTTTTTTGCGGATGTAATTCTAATATTAGAACAATACTTAGTATATACAGTCCAATATATTCGGATTTTATATAGTCCTTTAAATTATAACTTAATACAGCAGATGTAGTGCCAAAGATAAGAAATAAACTCATATCTAGAAGTTGTATTCCTTAAGATTAGGACTATATGAAAAAAATGATAGATGATAGTCCTGATATTGCGTTTAGTTGGTTTTGCATATATTACTTAAATATAATTTAAATTATATATAGTTCAAAAATATCGGAATATTAATATAATGTATATTGTATTTAACCTTGTGTTTAACCAAATAAATCATGTCTAAGTTAAAAAGTGTGTATTTTCATGTTAGGGATTACGACCATTATAAATCAACCCGAAAGTGTTATAATAAATAAAAAAATTTAAAAATCAGAGACCTTAACTTAATACTTTAATCAGCAATTGTCATTTTATTAATCATATCATCAATGATTAAATACAAATAATGTTTTTCAACTTATAAAATATTCTTTTTTGGAATTTTAACAAAACTTTAGTGATACTCACTTTTTCTCACGTTTACCAGCACCAGTATCACGAAATCCTTTCGCAAAAGGATTGTTATCTATTTTTAATTGAGTTATCTGAAAAATATAGAATACCATTTTTTAGTAAGAAAATAATTATAAATAATTATAAAACTGCATAATTAATTATTAAGTTTTTTTCATTAACCTCTATGAATTTATATAATTAAATTAATATATATAATATTTTAATGTTGAGTTTTTTTGTCGAATGTGACGCTTCTAATGACTTATGTTTGAATTAAATAATCCTTTTCGATCCTTTTAATATATGTAATTTACAATTGGTTTTATATAATCTGATAAGTAAAGTTTATTGATTTGACATATATATACTCATATATACTCTAACACAACTACAAAAATATTAGATTACTCTAAAAACGTTCGATGGGCGCCAAAATTCAACAGATCAAGAGTAAATCTAGACTGAATCCAGATTTAACATTCAAAAAACCCATACCAAAAGGGTGCATATCCGTTAGGAAACCCTACTTTCATAGAGGTGGTACTATAATATTTCATTAAGTATATTTATAATTTTTACAATTATTCTTGCGTTGTTATATCCATAGCATGGGGAGTATATATAAAGATATAGCCTATACCATTACAATAATTTTTCTTTTATGCTTTTTTTTTCGAACACATTTCGTCTGATTTCAGATATAATTAATATATGTCATTTTTAATTAAAAATAGAAACAAAAATGAAAAAAACCGAATTATTTTATTTTAATAATCGATCTATGTGACTTACCTTCTCATTTTGATATGCAGTTACGGCTATAAATTCTGTCTCTTTGAAAACGTACGTTCTGAATGTTGAATACGGTAGCTTTAAGATATCGTTTGCGCGCACCAAATGGAAACGTGGCTGATATTTATGCATTGAGTTGAGTATCGTCTGCAATGAAATAGGAAAACAGAAAATATTAATTTAAATTTTATTCAAAATAGATTTTTTTCGTAGTTGTCATTGCTGTAGATGTCATTTTCAAATGAACACGGTTAGAAATACCAAACCGTTTAGCGTTGAAAGTCAAAAACAGCGCACAAAAGAAACAAACTAACCGACAACTCACTAACTCAATCCGAGATGCAAATGAAACTATTAATTCTGCAGAATTTTTAATAGACCACCCACTTCAACAGCTGGCTTGGCTTGGCTTGCCTCTTGCCTGTGTGGCCTTTGAGCCAAAAGAATGTCATTGACAATTGCCCGTAAATTTATTGGCAATTTTATTTAAAAGATAATTTTATTAAATTGCATTCAAAAAAAAAAAAAAAAACTGATTTTATAAATACAAAATTGTATATAATATTTTACTTATAACAAATATTAATATAGTTTTTTGTTTATAATGCTTTTAAGTGTGTATTTTATGGCTTTCCGACAGACCCCACATAGCGACGCTCGACAAGTTCAATTTTTTATAGGCAATTTCATTGCTTATTATTAATGCCTGTTAATGTCTGTCTATTGGCTTCGCTTAAGAACACCTTTTTAATTATCAAAATTTTTATATGCGGCACGGCTGAGCAAGCAAATTTCGTAGACTTCAATAAGGAGCTTTATAGCAAAGCATTCATAGCCAAGCAGCAATACGCCTAGCTGCATGCAAAGATGTCGTCGTGCTCCATACTCGACTCTTTCTTCTCCAACTTGACTCTAATTCACTGTAGTGCAGTCCCCACTACTCCTCATTTTACTCTATTTTATTCACGATTTGCTTAATATAATGTTTTTCCTTAGTCTTCTTGCTTTGCCGTGTAATATTTTTATTTTCGTTTGATCATTTTGATCACTTTATTTGTCGTCGTAGAGAGAAGGGTTTGGCGGCAATATAAATTAAGACAAAAATTCAAAACCAAAAATAAAAAAAACAAAAAAAAAAAAATGAAATAAATGAGGAAAAAATAAAAATCCATATACATTTTGATATCAATAAATGTTGCTGCTGTGGACCTCACACGCCGTCTTGTTGTGGCGTTTTATTCGTAGTGCTCGGCGGTGCGCCATTTTGTAACGCTGGCAAGTATTTCTTTCACGTGTTTCCTGGCACATTGTGGCAGCGGCGGCCACACTGATTGCCAACCATTTTCAAGTTAAAGTTTTTTTTTTTGATTTTTTTTAAATGTTTTTACCTCACACAGCCGACATTTACAGATATCTTAAGATATGACCAATTCCACACTTTTAGGCCAGCTTTCAAGTGATTTTAATATATAAATTTTGCTTTTTAAAAATATTTTTCATATAAATTTATATGCATTTTAATCGTTTTTCATTAATTTGCTAAGTTTTCTGTGGTTTTACAGCAAAAAAGTTTTATTAAAATCAGTTCGTGTAATTTCCACTGTGTTAGTGTTGTGGAAAGAGAAGTGTGATTTAAGCGAGTAGTCACTATTTTACTGAATATAAATAATAAGTATTTGTTGTCAAGAGGTGTGGAATCTGGAACCAAGAATATATCTTGATTTGTTATCCACAAAGGATAATACAATTGAGCATCTCATAGATTAGAATGTATCATTGTTGCTTCTAATATAGTTAGCGTAGATGATTGCCGCTAAAGATAGTAAAATAGATCTCATATATTAAAGTGTACCATTATTCTTTCTAATAGGGTTAGCTTTGCTGATTGGCTTCAAGAATAGTGCAATAGACAAAAAATATACTTAATGAGATCTAATATTTGTTTCTTCTTATGTGGTTAGCATAGATAATTGCCTCCAGGGATGGTACAATAGATCTCATACAATAAAGTGTACCACTATTCCTTTTAAGAGGGTAGCTAAGATGACTGTTTCCAAGGATAGTACAATTGATCTCTTATATTTAAGTGTACCTTTGTTTATTCTTATAGGCTTAGCATAGATGATTACCTCAAGGAATAGTAAAATAGATTAAAATAGATTTCGTACTAATAATAAAATAGTAAAATAGATTTCGTACTTTAAAGAGAACCATTATTCTTTCTAACAGGGTTCGCTAAGATGATAGTTTCCAAGGATAGTTCAATTGATCTCTTATATTTAAGTGTACCTTTGTTTGTTCTTATAGCCCTAGAATAGATAATTGCATCCAGAAATAGTAAAATAGATTTCATACTTTAAAGAGAACCATTATTCCTTCGAAAAGGGTTAGCTAAGATGATAGTTTGCAAGAATATTACAATTGTTCTTTTATATTTAAGTGTACCTTCAGTTATTCTTATAGGGTTAGCATAGATAATTACCTCCAAGGATAGTAAAATAGATTTCTTACATTAAAGAGCACCATTGTTATTTCTAATAGGGTTAATTTGCCTTTAGAGATAGCAATAGATACGATAGATTAATATGTACCATTGTTACCATTTTGGAAAATCTTATGAAAAATTTTTCAAATTATGATATATATATTATTTTTCTTGAAATATAATATCGAAACATCTAATAAGTAAAGATATTTATTAGATGTGACGAAATTAAACAAGCTTTTCACTATATACCACATAGGAATCGAAAGATTCAATTAGATTAAATAAAGAAATGCAATTAAGCATGACATATGACGTACTGGCTATTAATTCCCTTACCAAATTCAGTGCATATTACAATCAATACTTTAACACTCCGATGGGCACATGTTTCGATAGTCACGTATGGTACTCATGGGTCTGGCCAGACCCTTATGCGTTTTCATGCATTTGTACGTAAATACTGAGTACTTTAATGAGTTATTGCATTAATATGCGATGTATTTATATGTATATTTTAAATTGTTTATAGCTTGGATTTTTATTAATCTTCATATTTTTTTACATTTTTGCTAATAAAAATATCGAAAAAATAAAGAAAGTGACATTTGTATGCAGTAACATTTTATTATTTTATTAAAATAAATAATATAAATTTAACAAAAACTAATATATATTTATTTGGCTATTATTACAACAATTAAAACATATATATTCAACTTTAGAATGTTGTTGACAAACTGGATTTGAACATTTGATGCAAAAGAAACGGGTTTTGCGGGATAGTTTTTCACCTTTTGAATAAATGTTGCAATTTTTCTTCTTCTCGAGGGTATCTGCCCCACTAACGCCAGTCACGACTTGTGGTGTAAAATGTAATTGTTTACCGAAAAACGATTCCATAGTATCACTATAAATGCATCTATCTCAGCTTCAGTAACATCGCTCCAAACTTTTTGTACTTTATTGGGATTATCCACATTCCATTTATTAACTGAATCTCTTCCATACCGATTTGTTTCGGTAATAATGACTTGGATAATGTTTGATGTGAAAAATTTCTTAAATACCTCAAGTGGAATGGAGTTTTTTTCTTTAGGTCTTGCTCGGAAGCGCATAATATTGTGTTGACGTATGCGAACACCGGCATTCAATTCATTTTTACTCCATTTTGTTCCATCTTTATCATAAAAATATTTTTCGCCAACTCTTTGTTGTTGTGTTGCAGGAACTTCCTCATCGTTATCTTCTATATCAAATAGTTCATTTGGTTCGATAATTAATACACTTCAATATCAGATGCATCGTCCTCATTTAGTATGAAATCTGAATCATTATCTGCTTCATCATTGGGAACCTGATCTACTTCTTCATGCTCCTCTATAGCTTCCTCTTATTCCATATCGTCGGCTAAAGCTGCTGCTAGGCGATTATAAAGTGAGGTGTCGAACTCATCACTAAGGTTTTGCGTGTTATAAAGCAACTCAATTTCATCACTCATTTTTAAAATAATAAATTTTAGTAAAAACAAATGTTTCGAAGATGTTTGCTGCAACCATCACTGAGACTACGTTTCAAATAGATCGGAACTATAATTTGGCTTCCTTTTATATAAAATTCATTCCATTGCAGGTAACAGCAAAAAATATTTTTGAAGTAAACAAAGTACCATTTGCAAAAACGATTCTCACTTGCATTTTGCTCATGTTAAAATCGTGGGAAACACCTTATTTTAGGAAGTTAGTAAGAATACTGGCATAGAATGCCTAGTTCTGAAATTAAAATTCGCCGAATTTTGCTCGTAGTAGAATCGTGGCAAATACCTGTTTTTAGGAAGTTAGTAAGAATACTCGCATCGAATGCCTAGTTCTGAAATGATTAAACTTAGCCGAATCTTCACGACATTTCACGTCTGCAGTGAATCCAATTAAATTTTTTTTTTTAAATATATAATAAATATATAAATATATAATGTTTATAAATTATATTATATTATTAAATTATTATTTTAATAAACTTTTCTTTTTATTAAATTAACAAAATATCTTTCATTTGAGATTTTGATGTTTTCAAGTATTTGGCGAATACGTGCATGATTTTCGAATACAGATATTCCAACATATTTACGTATATTTTGGTAATTATTGTTTGGTTCTCATCAATTTTTTTTGCTTTTTGTTATTAATAAACAACATAAGCTTTTCAATAGTCTAAACCGACAGTTTTAGCATAGATATATTAAGAAAAAGTGAAAAATGCAAAAAATGTCATCATTTTTCATACAAATTGTATGTGGGTCTGGCCAGACCTTTGAGTACCGTATGTGATGTGTACACCAAAACATGCTTATAATTATCCTTCTGTTAGCTTTATCGCCACGATTTTTTGCAGATCTGTAGTCAATAAAATTGTAGGAGGGTACCTGAAATTTCAAATCGCTAGCTAAATTAGAAATGTATTTAAATTGTGTTTGAAATCAAAAAAGGTCTGGCCAGACCCATGCGCCTATCGGAGGGTTAAGGTTCCAATAGATTTGTTTAGCTAAATGTAATATTAATTACAAAGTACTATATTTATTCAATTAATATATAACAGCACAAAAAGCAAAAGTGCTCGCTAACAGCACTCTGAAAAAATAATGAAAATATAAAAAAAAGTAAAATGATTTATAATGATTAAATTTGCCGAGGATTTGTGTTTTGCAAGTATTTAATAAAATAAAAGAAAAGAATTGTAGCAGTTGTAGAAAAACTAAATTTTTCGAAAAGTTTGTGAAAACTCTGTTCTCAAGCTTTCAATTAAAACCAAAAAAATAAAAAACAAGCATGTTTTTTAAACTATCTATCAAGAACAGAAGATATCCAATTCATGGAGTGTAGAGTAAGATGGAACCGTTGGTAAAAAGTTTAATTCAATTACTGTTTTATAAGAATCCAGTAGGCCAATATGTAGTTGCAAATAGGATTATGGTAAAATATTTAAAAAAAAAATATGCGAGCTCATCATTGTGATTGTTCTCGGCTAAGAGCTGTTGACGGACTTCAATATGTCGTGTGATATTCCCTCATTTCTATCAATTTTTATTAATAATGTTATAGTGATAAATAATGTGAGGGGTCATTATTGAGTCTTCATTCTTGATTAAGACCTCTTGTAGTACTTCAATTAGTCGTCTTAACAACTATGAGACGTCATTATTCTTGATTAGAGCTCTTGAAGTAATTTCGTCTGTCATGCGATAGTATCTCTGTGTTATCGATTTTTGATAACAATGTAATATTATTATCATTTTGATTATGAGCTGTTGACAGACTTTAGTTCTATAGATTTGGAGCTGATTAGGAGCTGTTAATGGTCTTCATATTGCTGTAAAAAAGAGCTCATCATTGTGATTGTTCTTGATTAGTAGCTGCTGACGGACTTCAGTCTGTCGTGCTATAATCTCTAAATTTTGTAGATTTTTAACTTTCCCTAAAACTTGCTGACGTCTATTCTGTTGAAATTATTGTTCATAAAAACTATTTGTCTTCTGAGAGTTTGTATCCTTTTTTTTTGTTTGTTCTAATAGGAGGTAGTTTACTAACGTAGTGCAAATTTTACTACTTGCTGTTAGGTTAGGATAGGTTATATTACTACTGGAAATTGAGAGTTTTACATATGTTGCTGTTTAATACCCGAAGGGCTTAAGATTCTTTCAATCAGCTATTAGTGTATAAAATGTTATTTGATAGAAAGTTTTCTGCAACTCACAGAGATCATCTCTACTTAGTTTACTCTGCTATGCGCAAGCTAAATAGTCTGCGAAGTAATACTATGTTTACATTTATACTTATTAAATTTTTTTATTATATTTTTATAGGGATTTTCTCCATACCATACCAACAATAACAGTGTTACGAGTAACACTATTTTCTATTTTTTTTGTTTTTGTCTGAACGCAAGGTGAATGCTTATACTGAATACGCATCACTTTTGCCCGTCATTCTATACTTTGTCAACACAAGTAATCACATTCTCATTAGCATATCTTTTTCTACATCACTAATTAGTGATCTTGTAGTATTTTGGAATGCTTAAAAGTTTTTAACGATTTATGCATATTACAAATTCAGTTGCCTTTTCCGTTGCTGTGCCAATACGTGGAGTATTCTGTTTATCCCAAAACTCCTTTTCATTTTCGATTGAGACTAATTAACATTATGAGCAGCTTGGGCTTGGAACTAACCGTAAGCTTCTTGGGTCACTTAATTTACACGATGACATTATTTAGAAAGCGTTAAATAATCAGCATCGCCGATCGTGCGAATTTTAAATTCCAGCTTAAGTTTACCTAAAAGGTGCAGTGAAGCCGGCACAAAACTGAATGCGGGCGGTCCAGATATGGTACCTAATAGCCAACAACGGCGATAACAACAACAACAACAACAACAACAACGAGAAATGATTAAAAAAGGAAACGATTTATATGCGTATTGAGGGAATACAATATATTTGGATTTGTGTGAACTAATTGTGGGATTACGTGTTTGTTGGCAATTTTGGTATTGATGTTGCGGCAGCAGGTTGCATGAGTAATCCTTAAAGCAAAGAATTGAAACTTGTTGAAATTACTTCATACCAATATATATATATTTTTTTTGTCCATATATATATTTGCTAACTATTATTGTTGCTGATATGTTCAGCGTTGTTGTTGTTGTTCTTGTTGTTGTTTATGTTGATGATGTTGTTTAAGCTTAAGAGGGTTGCAGTTACTAATAACTGAAAATGTATCTCATTCTAAGCTAAACATGAAATTATTTGGGATTTGTGTATTTTTTTAAACTGTTCTTGGTATACTCACTATATCTTCCGTTTATTTTTTTTTTTTTGTACTCTGTATCCTATTTAGTTGAGAAATTAATTTCAATGTGGTGGCCATATACTTCAACGTGTGTATCTACGTATATATGAAGAACATGAATGCATATATAATTGGCATGAATAATGCTTGAGTAAATGGTATTTTGTTCTTGGCGCCAGTTGGGAATTTATAATATTTTTCTTATTTTGTTTTTTTTTTGTTTTTGTAGTTTTTTGCTGTTGTTATTATTATATAGTAGAGAGAAGATGATGAGACCCATTTCAGCTGTCGTCCGCATATGATTAACAAACTAAATAACCTAAGGCTCTAATTTGCTTGTGATTTATTGTTATAAAAATCTCCTTTAAAGGTGAGCACAAAAAGTAGTCATGCAAATATCGAAAATAAATTTTAAAAATTGATTTATTCTTTTTTTTTTTTTTGATTTTGAATTTAATATAAATTTATTTATAAGAAAAAATAACACAAATTGAGACAAATAACCTGCACATATGTTAGTATTAACAAGCCAGAACAACAGGTTAACACATTCCTTGTTAACTTTGATGATTATTGCCATTAAATATAATTTACTGTTCTGTTGTATCTATAATTTTAAACTATTACTATTAATATTTCGAAATGTTGATTTCAATTTATAATTCACAACAATTTATTGCACAAATGCACAAATAATTAGCAGAAATAATATATCTACGATCGGCGAAACTAACACGCGGGCATCACATCAAAATCAATTATCGCGAATTGGAAATCATGTGAAAAATATCAAATGCATTATTTTTAATGAGAAATCGTCACCATATTTCGTACTTGTTTAATCGTAATTAGTAGAACGTTGTGGTAATAACACTAATAATTGTCATTTAAATGGCCGTAGTTGTTTATTGAATTCAAGTTTGATGAAAATACTCGTTAGATACATCGAGATAACCATAAAAATGCCATAACTATAAATACACAACCAAAGTAATAGCCAAACAACAACAACAACAACACCACAACAACAACCAATTGCAGTCAGTTTTAATAATATTCATATAATGTTTAAACAAGTGTAATTAGACATGAGGAGTGCGATTACGCGAACGCCAAACCAAGCACTTTCCACTAACAAATTTATACACATTATAATAAACTATACGATGGATCCAGCAGGTTAATAGCAAACAGTAAACGCCAATCGGCAAACGGAAAATATTTTTGTCATACTGCCTATCTGTCTTACTGCCTATCTCGCTATCTGCCCATCTGACTATCTTTCTTATTGCCTATCTGACTAACTGTGTGTCTATTTTAATGTCTATCGGTCAATCTGTCTAACCATTGACTGGTTTTTATACACTATAACCGAGCGTTTCTCCATAGGTAACTGTACTCACACGAAGTGTTGGAATTACATGGCGTGTATGTTCAACTCGAA